TCTGGGAGCTAAGGGTGTTTGACAACGTAGAGCTGGAGCGGAGCTGGAAAAACAGAAGCGGAGTAATCCCAAACACCCCTATTACACTGGTCATTGCAATACATGGATGCAAGGCGTCCCCAACTGAGGTACTTACACCAGGATGCTGCTGCAACGTCGAAGAGTATTGATAGTTAATTACTTTCAAAAAAAAATATTGCTAGATCTTTAGGTTCAAATGTGCAATGTAAGATACAGAAATTGCTATACACTGAGATTGACTGATATATCAGAAAAGTCTCGTATCGTTAAGCTGCACACACTCTGCTAGTTATACCTTTCTCTGAATAATAACTAAAGAATAGCTGCCAGATGTCAATAGCTTTAAACCAAATCTTTCGATAGACCTTAAGCAAAACAGACTCTGTGATCCACTCTTTGTTATATCATGACAAACTATCAGCCTGTTCGGCAGCATATAACTGCATGTATCTGGCTTAGCTTATCAGTCAGCCAACAGTGTTTTCCTCTCACACCAAATCGGCCAACAGTATTTTCAGCCATGGGCTTATAAGTCAATCCAGCCGAAACGAACATGCTGTATATTTTTGCAGAAGTTCACTCACCTATTATTTCTATCTCATGCTACATGAACAAGAGAAACAAAAGTACAAGATACCAAAGTAGATACATGGCTACTTCCCCCTATTCCACCGATGCAGTGGCTGTCAGAAAAAGTCCAGGGACGACTTAGGCTGTGTTTAGTTCGTAAATTTTGGAAATTTGGCTACTGTAACACTTTTATTTTTATTTAGCAATTAGTGTTCAATCATGGACTAATTAGGCTCAAAATGTTCGTCTTGCAATTTTCAACCAAACTGTGCAATTAGTTTTTTTTTCATCTATATTTATTGCTCCATGTACATATCGTAAGATTCGATGTAATGGCTACTGCAGCACTTTTTAAGAAACTTTTTGGTAACTAAACGAGCCTTTAGAGTACTTTGGAAAAAATCACTGGAGGTGGGCCGTGCAGATAGGACCAACGACGCTTTGCACTCAGTCAGAACGCAGGTTGCTGAAACCATTCAGGCAAGAAGTCAAGGAACATTAGTTTCTAATGAGAATGTTAATGCCAATGTCTCATAGAGACGAAACGAAATGTTCTGAATCTGAAGAAACGAGACATTCGCAGCCATACCGAGTTAGAGAAGATGTTGTACAGGCTTCAGAAGGCATTGCTCTCAAGGCTGGAGAGTTTCCTGTGCCTGCAATAGTTTACCTAGGGGTGTAGGAACAAGCAGACACATGTTTCCAACAAGAAGGCAGACAACAATTTGGCAGTGGACATTCTGACAACGGCTCAACAGAGAAGTGACGCGAAGAGCACGAGGCTTCAGATAGCAGCAGCAATCTGCAGAACAAGAGTGTCTTCTTCTCTGCGGTACAAGAGCTAGCGGCTCGCGGCGGCTCTCGGCGGCTCGCGGGGGCTTCTTCTTCCTCCCGGTGACGACGGCGCCACCGAACCTCCTTGCCGGCTGCCAGCAAATGGGATCGAGGGAGGAGGGGGAAGGAGATGCCGCACTTGGCTTGGTCCGCCCGCCGCCGCAAGGGACCGGAGGAGGGAGCTCCTAGGCTTCTTTTGCAGGGATCGGAATTCGGAGGGAGCAGATGCGTTTGAGTTCTGACGCTAGGGAAACGACGGCGTGAGGGCACCACCAACGTAGCGGTTGTAGCGAGTGATGCACGTAGAGCAGAAATATTGAGATTACTATTTATATAATGTAAACTATCATAATTTATAGTTTATAAAGAAACTTTTTTTTTATCGTGCCTCACATTTATTTTCTCTCTCTTCTTTTTTAACATATGTAGCTTTCCAAACATATGTAGCTTCTGCAAATCACTATAATAAGCATAGAGCACATACTTTTTTATCTAATCCTACGTGACACTTGGAGCTACTGCTAAACAGACAGCATTGGGGAAGGCCTGAAGATGGAGACCTAGACAAACGTGACTTCACCTCTAGACCAGGGCTGGCCTCGGGCTAGGCTTGGAGGGGCTAGGACCATGCGGAATCCAGTTGCAAAATAATAAAAATATTAATTTATTAAATTGACTGCTTTGAGATATGTGCAGTTTTAAAAAGAGGAGTACCAGAACAGTGCTCCATTGATTTTTTTTTTCTTATAAGCACTAAAATGACGACCCAGCAAAGTTTTAGATCGATAAAATCAAGTCTAAAACCTTAAGCAAGAAATCGCTTAAAAAGCCAAAAGTATGCATGTAATCCTTCCTCTTTTATCATTCGCCCTGTTCGTTTGGGCTGGTTTGGCTTATAAGCTATGGCTGCAAATACTGTTGGCTGGTTTGGTGTGAGAGAAAAATACTATTCGTTGGCTGATAAGTCATGGCTTATAAGCCAAATATGACTGAGTGATTATTGATTAATTTGGTCATAGTCACTACTGGTTGGACTTATGCTCTGATGCTTGTTAATTGTTATCTTCATATCGTATCATGGTATATATGCATCGTCCTTTAACCCGAACACTATGCATAGTAATAGTGATTTCTATTGCTCTTCATGGCTCCGCGCATCCAATCCAACAAGAAACAAATACTACTCCCTCCAGTGTGCATATACTTGGCGTTTTGAACAACCACAGAGTCTCAAAAGTGTAGCTTTGACCAGTTCTTTTATCAAAATATATAATGAGTATCTAAAAAACATGTTTTTAATAAAGTACTTTTCATGGATAGTCTATAAATATAAATATTTCTAAACTAAATACTTCAAAAGTTAATAAGTGTAACAAAAGCTTTAAAAGTTTGACTTCAACCTTGTGCACTGTATCAACTATTTACAAATCATAGAGCGCCATAAATGGTCTAGAGAAACTCTTTTTTTTTTGCAAGAAATAGCTGGATTAGACAATGTATGCAAAGTATTTTTGTAGTTTTAGAAAAATATCATGATTTTGTGAAATACTTTGATTTTAGAGTGCCACGAAGCGTTTGGATGCAATAAATTTATGGTTTTGAAAACCACAATATTCCTAAAACTATGTAGTCTGTTATAAACAACACACTGGACCACTTTTTTTTTTCTAAACCATGGTTTTACACATCCATAGGTTCTAAACTGACAGTTTGGCATTAATGGGAGGTGAATTGAGAGATATGTTAGTCTTTTTACCAAAATACACAAGATGGTTTGCAAGAGACAAGGAAAGATTAAAAGAGAATTAAGAAAAGGAAGGACAGTTATGTGCTCACGTGGTGGTTTTTCATAATTTTGAATGGGAAACTTTTGAATGTGTATGCCTACCTTGCTAGTATACTATTAATACTAACTAGTATATAGACTAATCTTTGTGGCCTACTTGATCATTAGAGCCTTAGTTCCTTTCTTAACCTAGCTCCCAATCTCTTCCCATTATCAACTACATCATTCTTAACCTAGGTCGATCCTGTCATTGACCACGCTTTGCCCTCAAGAAGCAACTGCACATGAATTTAGTATTCTAAGTCATCATCTCCTGTTCCGCGTGTCTGGGCCCTCCCTGCACGGCATGTTGTGGCTGCTCCGCGGTGGCTCTGCACCGTGTTGGCGGCGCGGCTGCATGGCTGGCGCTCCGGCGGTGGTGTAAGCTTGGGCACGTGCAGCATGGCGGAGGCACTGAGGCCCCCCGGCAATGGTGTGGCATGATAGCTTGGACGCCGCCCTGGCGATTGTCGTGCCTCAGAATCTTCGAGGGCCTCATCCTTCGAGTGACGACAGCGAAGGTGGTCGAGAGGACGGTGGGTAGCGGCGAGGCATCGGCGGCGTCATACCTTTGGGTGGCGGCAGCCTAGCAGAGGACGATGGCGGCCTAAGCGTCGACGGCCAGTCCTCGATAGGGAGAAGGTGGATCCAGTGGAGGTGGTTCCGAAGGCATCCATGTCCTAGAGGCGACGGCGGCCTTGGAGTTCGAAGACCTCGGCGGTGGCGTCAACCCTAGGGGCAGCGAAGGTCTGAGCGCCGGTGAAGATCTCGGCGAGGACGAGGCGGATTCCATCAGCAGCGGTGGCCCTAGAGGCGGACAGAGGCCTGGGAGTCTGAGCGGAAGAGGATATCCTCGGCGGCAGCGACAGAGGGCTCCGGCAGAGGCGACAACCATGATTCCAGTGACGACGACTACCCCTGTGGGCGGCAGAGGCCTTGGAATCTGGCGAAGCGGAAGCGGATCCTGTCGGCTCATGTCTGATCGGTTAGATCTGAATGGATGACGACAGATGAAGGTGGGCTAACCGGCGACATGTGGCGTCACCTTACTTGAAGCGGATGAAGATGGCACCAGCAGAGGCTCGTAGTGATGCCGCACTAGGGTCGACGACGACTTGCACTCGCCGAATTTGGCGGTTTTAGGAGAGGATGTCGAGAAGTAGAGATGCGCCGAGGTCATAGTTTTTTCCTCTTTTGTGTGCGTTTTCCTCTTTGCCATGGTGTGAGTCTAAGTGCTCTTGTATCATTTTGACTGTGTATATCCTCCGTGGATATAGAGGCCGGATTAATGAATCCATTATTTAAAAAAAGAAGCACCTGCACATAAATAAAGATATACAAGCGAGTCCACGACTTCGACTCGACATATATATGTTCATGCAAAGCCATATCACATGAGTTTATTGCACAAATATAAAAACATCTATACTATCATGACTGCATCTACCAGAAACGTATCTAATCAACACATCAGAAACACAAACACGTCAACCTATCAACCTATGACATTACACTAACCACTTTGCAATGCCAAATTTGACACGTACGGCCGTTTTTACACACATCTTACCGTCTCGCTAGATAAAAACATTGGCAACCAACATTGTCGGCATTCTATTTTAAGGACAAATATGCAAAATTGAAATTGAACATCATCACAAAAGTGATTATACAATCTCATGCACTCTAAACTACAAATCAGCTAATGAGAAAATAATCAGTTAATCGACCTTCTGCTCCTGCTACCGTTCTACTCCAGCGTCTCCACGATGAGTTCCCGCAGCGCCTGGCAAGACTCATCGACGTGGCGTCGCGCGACGAACGGGTGTGCGAGCAGCTGCACCACCGTGGCACGCCGCCTCGGGTCCTTCTGCAGGCAAGCTGCCACGAACCCGCGAAGCTTAGGGGACGCCGCCGCACTCTCTGGCGCATACGGCGGCTCCCCGTCGCAGATCGCCTTCCTCAGCTTCTCGAACGACGGCCTCACTCCACCTGGGGGCAGAAAAGGGCACCGCCCCAAGAAGAGCTCCAGGACCGTGACGCCGAAGGCCCAGACGTCGGCGGCGATGGCTCCGCGCGGCCCGGCGTGGGCATCAGGCTCGAACCGCTCGGGGCTCAAGTACATGGGGGAGCCAACGGCGACGGAGACCTTGCGGCGCTCGTCGGCGCGACCGTATAGGATCCTGGACACGCTGAAATCGCCGATCTTGATGTCGCCCCGGGAGTTGGCGAGAAGGTTGTCGGGCCTCAAGTCGAGGTGCGCGACGCCGCGGGAGTGGACGTGCGCGAGCCCCTGGAGGCACCGCGCGGCCACCTCGGTGAGGGCGCATTCGGGGATCCCGCGCCCTCCCCGGCGGCCAATGATGCCGCCGAGCGTCCCGGCGTCCATGAGCTCGAGCACGTAGGCGGGCTCGCCGCCAGCGCCGCTGAGAACCGCGTGGCAGCGCACGACGTGCGGCGACCCGGCAGATCGGCGGAGCGCCTCGGCTTCCTCGTCCGCAGCTCTGCTGGGGTGGGCATAGTGGGCCGTCTTGAGCGCGAACTCGGTGCCGGTGCCACGGTGGCGCACCTTGGTGACCACTCCGCAGGCGCCCTCTCCGAGGTGGCAGACCTGCTCCAGGTCCGACAGCAGCAGGTCCACGTCATCCGCGGGCAGAGCCAGTGCCTGCTTCATCATCTCGTGGGGCGCGGCAGGGATCCGGTGGAAAAACTGGAGCGGCGCAACGGGCAACGCCGGGCAAGTCATCGGGCGCCGGGAGGAGACGGCAGCGCCAGCACCGCTGCTCTCGAGCGGGATGTCCGCCGCCGCCACAACCATGCCTGAGGGTTTCAATCCCAATGCGGCGTATGACGTACGGTGAGATAGTGCGGGAGGCCGGGATTTATAGCGCGGGAGATGGAGTCGGAATCGGAGCGGGACTCAGCGAATTGGCGGCAAATCTTGAGCCCCCAGCTGGCCGACTCGCGGGAGGAGGGGGAATCCGAGAGTGGAGGACAGCAGGGGAGGTCCCACCAGTCACCCAGTAGGACATATATGCGTGACTTGAAAGGAAAAAAGAAAGGAGAGGTACTATCAGTCAAACGTAGTTTAAGACCCGTTTATTAGATCCAGTAACTATTAAGAAGCCAGCTAATTGTTATATAGATGGTTGGTAAGACACAATATGATTTATTAGTTGTCATCCAAAGATAATCTTGAGTAGCTAATAACTCCATCCGTTACAAAAAGGATGTATGTAACTGTAAGATTTGTGCAAGTCAAACTAATTTAAGTTTGACCGAGTTTATGGTGAATAATACTCCCTATATCCCAAATTATAAGAAGTTTTGAAAATTTTTTAGATACATTAATTACTTTTACTATGTATCTAGAAAAAACAAATGATCTTATAATTTAGAATGGAGGAAATATTATATTTGTGCCTCCAACTAAATTTACTATAAAAATATATTACATAATTAATCTCATTGTACTTATTTTATATCATAAATGTTAGTATTTTTTGTGTAACTAGTCAAACTTTAAATTGTTTGACTCCTAAAAATGTGACCTTTTACATTATTTTTTGGACAAACGGCGTATATAAGATCCAAACAGACTAACTAATTGTCTCAACAAAACTTTCTAACATATTTTCTTTGAAAACACAGTAGATGCACACATTTATATTAACATACACAACACATTACAGACATAAATACTCATACACTCATTGCACGCATTTATATTAACATACATATAGAACACAGTACAAACATAAATACTTATACACTCATTCATTTTCCCTATCACCGCACGTACATTCTACCCTAGTGAGCACTTTTGAAAGATTGGACAAGCAAATCTCAAGATTGAAGAAGTCGCTATAGATGTCTCGCTTTGACAAGCATATTGCTTATCGTTATAAAAATAGTCTTTTAAATCCTAGAATAAATACAAGAAAGTACAAGCACCTATATCAAGTCAAGGATTTGAATCTGGATGAAGAACTTGAACTCGGAAAGGTAGGTTCCACTTCTACCACAAAGAACCTAACCAGCAGACCTTGCTCAGTTCGCATTCTTTGAAATATATTGGTCACTCATGAAAGATTTGCTTGCAATAGAAACATAGGCATGGCTTTGTCATGCTCACGCCTATCTTGGACCAGTTCATGTATACAAATCATAGGGTCCAACTATAAGTCCATGTAGCTATGTGGAATCGATTCACAAAGGACAGAAATAAGTCTACAAAATCTACAGGTATTCCCAAAACAATTGTGAATAAGTACCAGTCCATGTATGCATAGACCTCTAGTTCACTTTTGGCGATTAATGATAATCATTAATACTAATGTGTATTTTGCAACGATACTATTTAGTGAGGTCACAATGATAGATACGATTAGGATATTATGGTTTCCATGCCCCTAATAATGGATTTAAATAAGTTTTCAAAGGATATGCATGATGTTAAGGACGAGCTAGTTCTAAGTGTCCTCTAAAGTTAACTAAGAGACACTTAGAGTAGTTTATGTTCTTATTCTCCTTTGGTCATGCTATAAAGGGGTATGGGTAACTTGACCTAAGTGAGTTTAGTGAGTGAATGTGATGCGCACTCGTGAACTAGCACTTGGTAGCTCAGATGAATCCCAAATGTGGATTAAACTCGAAGCCAAATTCAAAGTGTTTGAATTGGAAGAGTTTGGTCACTTTTTACATGCACCGGAGTTCTCCTATGCAACCATCGGAGAGCTCTGCTCTGGCGGCATCAAGGAATACTTCTGGTGCGACACCACAGATAAGCACCGGAATTATGGTATTAGTGAGGTTGCATGTTCAATGCACTATAGTTATCAGTGCTGCACTGGAGAGTAACTACAGAGAAGGTGTTCTTTTGGGCCAACTCAATCAGTGGTACCAGAATTTTCCAATGGCCCAGACAAAGCACTAGAGAATGTCATATAGTAATGGCTAGTTCCAGCTATGAGTCAGTGGAATGGCACCGAAAAGCTCCGGTGTTGCTCCCGAAAAAGCATCAAAGAAATCTAGTGCTTTTTTTAGCTGAGTGGAGTTCCAACAGCTAGCTCGATGCTTGGCCAAGAGACTTTTGGAAGCCAGGAATTGTTAGCTACACATATTTGATTCCAAGAAAGTGATTTATTATATTAGAGTGATTAGAGACTCTATTAGTGCCTAGAGAATAGCAAGTGAATCCACTTTTCTCATTAAGCTTAGTCAGGTGAGAGTTTATGCTTGTGTTACTCTTGATGATCGGCATCACCTAGATGGCTTGGTGGTGATATGGTTCTTGGTGATCTCTCAGAGGAACTTGTGAGAGGCCCAAGACAGCGTACACGGTTGTGTAGTGGAGAAGGATCAACCCTTAGAGACTTGGTCCTTTAATTCACGGATCAAGGGGGAGCTACACCCTTTACGTGAGTGTTCCAACAAGGACTAGTGGGGAGTGTCGACTCTCTAATACCTCAAGAAAACATTGTTGTGTTTCTTACCCTCTTTACTTTCCACATTCACTTTCATATAATTTACATTCCTAGAATTGCCATGTTATTGTAGGGTAGGAACCTAGAGCGCTAAACTTTATGCGGTAGGCATAGAACATTTGTTAGGCACTATTAGGCACAATGGATGAATTTGACTAAGCAATAGGTTTAATTTCTGCATAAAATTTAGATTGATCCAATTCAACCCCCTCTTTATTGGGCATCTGGACCCTTTTCACATACATTGCTAACAGTGTGGAAATGAACATCTATGCAATACATGTGCACACATATTATCTCTGTATAAGCACATACTCTAAGTCTCCAAAGTTTATCTCGTTTGCACACCATTATAACATGATGATGAAGATACATATATTTTGTACTATAATAAGTAGACATTTGAGAAGAAAACGTAGGCTTTGACCTAAGCATATGTGTTGCCCTTGCTATTTTATATGACTCCATAGTTGTATGACAACTCTAGAACAATGGTAATGTTAGACTAAATAAGGCAAAAAGTGTTACATCCACTATGCTAAAAACACTTCATCTAACCGAAAAATGCATGGCATTTCTCTATGAAATGTAACACCATTCTTCCGGTCCCAAATAAATGTAGGTGCCCTATAATCTGGTACATTCTTCTTCCTTAGCAGCTTCATACTAAAAACCCGCACCAAACAAAGAATTTCTCATCATGTATGAGGATGAGCTAGGATGCAAATAAAGAAGACAATTTTTAGCATCTCTAACTTGATAGAGAATTGGAACTTGCTAGAAAAAGTTGCCAACGGAAAGCATTAATTGGCAACAAAGGAAAGCAAATACCTCTCATAGAACTTGATAGAATTCTCAAAGTCACCAACGGAAAGCATTAATTGGCAACAAAGTAATGGCTTCTACCATGAAAGGATCATGTTTTGTACACCTACATTTGCATTTAAACATGATCCTGCAGTATCAACAGTAGGCTATTTGACAAAACTTACATCCGCATTAGCAATAGAGAAATGCCAAAAGCCCTCTTCAGTTCATATTTGTCAATGCCCTAGTATGCTGAACAAGAGTGAACTTGTTATAACGTTAGAAGAGATAAAATAAAAATTCTTTTGAAATCATTTCATATATGAAGAGAGAAACATATCCACTGATAACTTTCTTATTGAGTTGACACACGTATTATGCAACACAAACAATAGTAGCATGCTAAAACTACCGTGCCATAAACTAAAAATTTGCAGGTCTATAAACATATCGTATGTCAATTCAAGTCCAAAGTTTGTGGCCTATATATAGTTCAAAGCCAAGGAAGGTGTTGGTGTACTTCTCATGAAGAACATCTCTTTTCTTTGTGGAGTCATGGTTATAAATAGCTCGCTATAGCTTTTCATAAGATCTACCACTATGATAGTGTCAATTGTTCCTCTGATGCCGCTAATGCCGCTATATAGCCCCTCTAAGCACTACTATTTGGCTTACGAAATACTTTTAGCACCAGTAATACCGATCAAGACAAGAATTCATTCATTCCTTACTCTAGATAACTATTAGTCTACGCCTATTCATTGTGGTCTTTACTTAACTATGATGTAATAATAAATTATTGAATAATTATTGAATTTTTTATTGTTGAATGTTGAATGAATATGAATATTGATCATAATTGTGAGTATGTTGATTTAATGAACATTAAGTAATGTACTCGGAGACATGTTCTCCTAGATCCCAATAAACGTATTTGAGTATTAGTGTTCATGGAACTTCCTTAGTTACATGATTTTGTGCATAGCTAACTAAGATTTTTCATCTTTCCATAAAACTGCTAAGTGAAATAGCTTCCCTTGAATCCTGCGGTAGCATTTTTATAGCTCCTAGAGGAGGCTGTTGCTAAATGTCTTAGCCCGCTATTTAAAAAATTGCGTGAAATATAAGCAAAAATATTGACTAGCAATACATACAAAGTCTTTTTATGCCCCATTTGGTACTGACAATCACATAAAATGTTTAGGTGCATCAAGAGTTGTATCCGGAGAAAAAGACAGCATACTTATTCCTCCTTATCTTATTTTCAGAAGGAGACTACATTTAGTGGAAAATGAACCAAGTAAAAAAAATAGGCTTATGTGAGGACATAATAATTCATGTTCGAACCTCTAGATGTAGTTATTTTATACAGAACTAGAGCTGGGGAGTTTTTCACCAAAAATCGAGAACCGAACTGAATTATCGGTTTTTTCAGTTTTCGGTTTTGGCTTTG